CTTTTTGTATGTATGTCTTGATACATGTATGGGGATCTTTACATTCTGAAGGTGTGACATGTTTGTGGATATGAAGGCATGGATGTCCTCAGATCAGAGATACAGAGACTTGATTTGACTACCTTATATAATTGTTCTATAATTTCATCTAAAGTCAAATGAAAAAATTCTATTGAAATCTCTTAGACAAGTTAGATGTCATCATTAACTCAAAAGCCTTGGCAGAGTTAGAGAGAAGTTAGAGCCAACTAAGAACAATTCCGAGTAAAAGATTTCTAAGAATTATGAGAATGAAGTCAGACTTCTGAGAATAGAGTCTGAACTGTGAGTTCACAGAACTGAAAAATAAGTTTCAGTCACTTCTTCTGCTGCTTTTGAGGTTTCACACAGTTTTCTTAACCTTTCGCTGGAAATCCCACAGACCTCCTGGTCATTTCAACTGGCCAAGCTTCGAAAAAAACTTTATTTGTAATTTAATTTATATTATTTATGTGATTACCATATCCTCTGATAGATAGATAGATAGATAGATAGAATAGATGATAGATAGATAGTGATAGATAATAGATAGAATAGATAGATAATAGGAAAAAAGATGAGACCAGTCAGAAGCAGCAGGCAGAAAAGAGCAATGCAGTTGTAACAGTCTCTTCCTGGTCCTCATTGGCCACCTCTTACATGGTGTCCAGGGTGACACCAAGGACAGAACCGGCTTTCCTAGATTTTGGAATATACACTTAGCTTAGCAGACTAGAAACAGGTAAAAAGCTAGCCAAACTCTGTTTACAAAATCCATGTATTCTGGTTTCCAAATAGAAAATCCCCTTTCCAAATGAATATTGATAGCTTTAGAACAAAATTACCTGTCATTATCAAACCACTCTTAATGAGGTCAGGTATCTGCAGAGGAAGTTAGACTAAAAACAATTCTAAGTAAGACATTTCTGACAATTATGAAAATGAAGTCAGACTTTTGAGAATAAAGTCTGAATTGTGGGTTCAAATAATTGAAGAGTTCTCACATGTATGTTATATGGACCAGTGAATAAACTGTAGTTGAGTGACTCTGTCAGCTTTCTTTGGAGATAAATATTTCTTCATCTAATGACATACAGTTCTAGGAAGTGGAGACTAACCTCAAACTGCAGTGTCATTGAAAGAGCAGCCAAAAGTTATTAATGCCTTTAACACTTATTTCTTCTTTTTCTTTCAACACTTTTCTTGAATATGAAATCTAGTCAAATTCTTCTTGTAGTTATGCCCTTACAGTCTGTATCGCATTCAGGCTTTTCTTGCTCCTGATTCCCCTGTGTGCTGCACTTTAACAAACCCATGTCTCCCTGTGTTTATGTGAAACTGTGTTGCCCTCTTTGTTCACAGTCTATTCTAGGCTCCTTTGTCCAGAGCCATCCAATTATATTCGAGTCTTTGTTTGCATTTGCATTGAAAGATAACTTGAAGTTACCTAGACATTCCCAAAATAGTTCATACCAGACACGCCCCTGCTTCTTTTCCCAGTCCACTGTGCAACACTACCTGGTCTACCCATTCACAAAGCTCCAGACGTTACTGCAGTGCTATAGCAACTTAGTGGTTGGTAGAGTGGTGAAATGACAGTGTGCAATATAAATCTTTATGTTTTTTATAAATAATATTATAATATAATAATATTGAGTTATCTTCCAAGAGTCAAGAGCTGAAACTATTCATTCATTTGATGTTCCCACGTGTCACACACACCTAAAAAGACTTTCCAGTCTCTCATGCTTTTGTGTTGCTCTCATGATTCTCTTAATTCCTCAATGAGCGTCTCTCAGGGTTATTCTCGTCTGCCGATTCTGTGTTTGGTTAAAAGGCAGCGCCGTTTGTGTGAGCAGGCTGCGGAGGTATGGGATGCATCCACAGATGGGAATGTAAACACAAAACCCAGGCAAAGATACATAAACAAATAACACTTTCACATAACACTGAGACACTTTATTGGTGATCAAATTCCATCCCTTTTCCACAGTGAGATGAAGAGTGTTTCTCTGACCTATAACAACAGCAATGCAATAAATAAAACCAACCCTACAGAACATCAAAGGACTGAATGCTCAGCATCCGAACATAAAAGACATACAAACACTAATACAGTCGTTAGCAATAAATAATCACACTAAATAAATTACATTCTAACAAGTTCTATACAGTGTTTTTTTAAACAGCATCTAATGAAGCAGTCTATTCACACTACTGCTTTCTCAGGTACTCCCCCCGGTCTGCTTCATCTTTAACTTGTGCAGCTGGCTGAGGAAGAGATGGAGAGAAATCAAACATCAGTAAATATATAAACACAGAAATAAGTGATTTATTTAAGTGAAACTATTTAGTAAGAAATTAACCATGCAAAAGTTTATGGAAAACTGCTTAAAGGCAGTACACACATACGTTATATTGCCAATCATTTATATCAGTAGGTTGTGTTTGTGGTTGTCAGTGCAAAGTAAAATCACATTTTTAAAGCCACCTCGCTAGATTTTTTGTGTGTTTATAATTACATTGCAAATTATTCTAATGGAATACATAGAAAAATGAGACATGCCCATTAACATTTGGTGGAAAGGTGGTGTACATATCTGTTGACTACAGTGTCTTTACCACTATGCAAATCTCACACAGTGACTGGAGTGACAGAGAAATCTGTTCACTGGAATAAAACAAAATTGTATACATATTTAATTAAAAACAACCCTGTAGACTTGATTTATGGTTCAACTTTTGAAAGGTTTCTAGTTTATTTACAACTTGGGCTTTATTTTTCCTTCTATTTTTAATTTTCCAATAAATAATAACATTGTACACACCAATTTAAGAGCTGCGATTTGGGACAAAGAGATGCTCAGATAGTTTTAAGCAAATCCCAAGGGTTGCCAAAGCTCACTTGGAAGAGAAAATTAAAGCAAACAGTAAAATTACTACTCAAACCGCCCATTACATACATTAATATGCAGACCAGCTTCCTGGTTAAACTTTGGCCTACCGTACTTTACACGATTGGATTATTAGCAACACCATGGGTGTGTTCACTTTTGTTTTTACCTCCAAATAAAATGGTTTAAATAATCTGGATAAACTGTTGGCTTGTTCAGAACCTGTCTAACTGTCTAATGGCTCCTTTCTTTTGATTGTCCCCTCTGACTTTGTTGTAGCAATGTCGCTGAGTGCCCATATTGCAGCAATTGAAATGATGGCTAACACTATGAAAATAACACCCAAGTCATAAGAAAATGAAAATTATTCTTTAAATCCATAAATTATTTAAAGCCTGCAAACCAAATAGCATAGGCAAATGAATTCATGGTCATGTAGTCTGTGAGTGAGAGTGTATAATATGGCACTAATCCCATTTTGGAACCAACGAGTTACAGGTTAAAAGATAGAAATCTTCAAATTGAAGTTCTTACAGTTACAGTATGAAGTGAATCTTAACTGTATGTGTGAGCCAGACTTGCTGTTCTCGGGGAGGACACTTAGTGTAACGCAGGCTATGAGGAGAATGTTACACAGACGCCTTGTTTGTCTTGAGGCTAACACTTCGTTGTGTCTAAACACGCGAGGTGTTCATGTCTGTGCGCGTGTGTTGCTGAGTGAGATCCCACCACATGTAAGCTCACATTAAGCTCTTACAGCAAGGTCATCACGTATACAGTCAGTGTGTCAGCCTGCTGTGATTGTTTGGACACACGTGAATGTGTGCGAATGAGCATGTGGTTTTTCTTTACGCTGGTATGCAGTGCAGATATGGGACATGCCGAGACACTCTGGTTAATCCAGACTAATTCCTCTATCGGGGATTCCTCTTTGCGTGATGCAACTCGCTGTATTCAATAACAACAACAGGCGTGCAGGCTCTCTGTCACTCTCTGAGCCCACTCTTTCCTGTTTGGATTAAGGCTCACGTGAGCAGAGGCCAGACACCGCCCTCTGAGGACTTGAGCAAGACTTTTCGGTGAAATACATCACCAAACTATACACCACCGGAAATACTGGCGCGTCTTATTACATGTCCTTCTTACGCCAACATTAGTTGGTTGAAATCTTGCTGAAATAAAAGACCTACTTTTAAATGTTTTAAGCAGACTTGTTGTAAGAGCCATAATGCGAGACAATAAGTAACAAATATAAGGCAAAAATTCACAGTGATTTCTAATTACTGCATGGACCATGTGTGATGTTTAAAACGTACAGAAACAATGCATGTTGAACAGCGCCTGAATTGGACCAAAAAGGGTGCCAGTACCCTAATTCAGCACAAACCTTATCACAACATAACCCTAATTCTTTTGCTGTTTTTTATTCTTTTTAATAAGAACATTTTCAGAGCTGTTTTCTTAGTGTTAGACTAGCTATGAGTTTACATGGAGACGCAGTTACACAGGCATTTAGCCTAGCTAGGGTGGTTTGGGGGGTACGCATCAAAGCATCAAAGCATCAAAGCATAGTTACAGCCATGCTCACCAGAGGTGGCGGTACTCGATAAGAAGTAAGGGTACTCATGTGGACAAAAAAATGTGCCAGTACTCAGTACTGGCCCATTTCAGGCACTGATGAATGTTAAATGTTTACAGGACAGGACTCGCTTCCTAACAGCAGGGAAATACTAGAAACGATTAGCAATAAGCTCTGATTGGTCATTCACTGTTTGGGGAAGAAGTCAAGCAAACTGTCAGCTGAAGTTTGGGGGTATTGAGATGTTTATGAATGGCGTCAGAATTTCATTAATTTGATGCAGTATTGAACTCAGTAAAGTACAGCGAGTGTGTTTGTGTACACACAAGTAGGTCAAAACCTCAGCGACACCCACCTCATAGTAAATGGACACCCTCACACCACAACGTCACCGATGTGTTTCTGTAGCTTCTCCTGCTCCGTCCCAGTTCCCAGGTACGATGCCAGAAAGTTTTTATGTGACCTGTAACTACAAAAGACATTCAGCATGAGCATAAAAGCAGAGTATAGTACCTGAGATTATCAGCTGATCGCAATAAAGCTGTTTTGAAAGGCAGGAGTGTTGAGTCAGTTACATGGCTTTGATCCTGCCTAGACAAATGAAATTCAAGGCGTGTTTTTTGTTGTATTTTGGCAGGAATTTCTGAGGATCACAGTCCATGAAGTGCATTGATTATTAAAATGAATTAGTTCTTACTTTCTGGCTGTTTTGATCTGAAATGAAATTGGAGCTAGTTTCGCTCTCACAGTAATAACACACTTCAGTACTGTGGCTGTAAAGCTTTAATTGCACTGCTGGCTATTGGACTATTGACTTTGTCCCACATTCCAACAATAGTTGTGATGTGGTTACATATTGATAAGGAGTGTGACTGTACATTATACATGACTTGTCACACAGTTACAGTAAGTAAAAGATTGACGCTTGAAAGAGAGCATGAGTAAGAAATACATCCATACTTTTTACTATTAGTCTGCAATAAAAGGAAGAATGAGCTGTAGAGGTCCTTCAGTCCATCTTGTGAAGGTGGTGAGCAATAGGCCTACCTGTAAAGTGTGGGTGTGTTTGGGTGTGTTAATGTGCTTTTTGATGTGTCAGTGTGTTCGAATGCCAAGAAATATTTCTGGGCAGGATATGTGTATTGCACTTATGTTGAGATCCACCGGGGTGTGGATGGTTGCCCTCATGCGTATTTGCTTAAAGCTTCAATAGTCTGCCTTATGACAGTTTTATAATAAAGAAGAATAAGAGGGCTTTTATACCAAACCACTGGCATCAGGTCTTGTCTTATTATAGCTCCAACTATTACTAAAATTATACAAAAGAAGACAAGAGGAGCAAATAACCACTACACATTGAACATTTAGTTAAGTTAAATGTGTTAAATACCCAACCCCATGGCGTCATGACACTTAAAACAAAAGGAATCCAGCCTATTTTAGAAAATATCTGTCATCTGACATTTTAGAAATAAAATGAGCTAATAAAAGATAAATAGAGATAGTTTAGATACGTTTTAATTTTATCTTACCAACTGATTCGAGGTTAAAGGAAAAGTACAAAACTTTTTCATGTTACATTTTAATCATTCTACAAACAATATTAACTATTGAACTATTGATTTTGACTTGTCTGATAACCTTTTACTACATTTTGTCAGTTTTGGGGTTCCATATGATCTTCTTTTCTCATTTTTCCCTCTTTATCTCCCAACTTTTTGGAATTGTCAAATTCCCCATACATTACAGTGCTTATGGCTGCCATCTCCCATAGCTTAAGCAGGGTTTAGGCTGCCATTGAGGTACACATGAAGCATCTTTTCAGCTGTTTTACCACATGATCCCTCACTGGCCTCCCACCCCACCAAAACACTAATGTTCCTTCTGAAGGACTGCGTTAAAATCAAAATGTGTGTCTGAGTGTGTGCACATGGCTGTGTGTCAGTTGCATACTCACTGAGCACAGGTCATGAGCAGGATGGCGGTGCAGCTGATGACTGACAGGACCACAGCAATGATCACTAAGACCGTCTGTACCAACTCAATATTGCTGCTCTGATCTTCGGTTTTCCCTGTACCCAGAGTTTGGATCCCACAGCGTTCCCCATCATAACCCTTCATACATCTGCAGAGTGAAGAGTTAACAGAACAAATGAGGACATATGACATCAGATATTGACATTGAGTGTTATTTGGATGTTTGAAAGTCAACAAAGTGGACTGATGCTGTACTTACATGCACACTGGCTCCTGCAGGCCCTCTATGTGCTTGCAGTAACCATGAATGCAGTAGGTGAGGTGGGTGGAGGTGCAGGGATCCTCTGTGGTGCTGAGAGTCGACGTGTATCCATTGGTGAAGAACGTGTGCTCAGGGTTGAAAGGAGTTGTGCTTTTGCCCTTGTGCTTGTTCCTCTTCTTGCCATTGCCTCTCTTTTTCTTCCTCTCATCTCTGCTGGGTTGTAACTCTGTAGGAGGAGAAATGTTAAACTCTAACTTGCAGTTTTAACTGCAAGTTAAACTGTAACTAAGGTTTATGGTTTCATTTTAGTTTTAACCTAAAGAAGTTAGGTAAGTTTTAAAACCTAATTTTACTAATTAGAGAATAGAATTAAGTTTCCATGTGCTCTCAGAACCAATATATTATAATCTGTAAAGGGAAGCCTGGCTAGGTGTTTTTGCAACATTACAAAAAGAGATATATGATCTTTGTTTCTTCACTCCTCCATTTAGAAAACATTGATTTAACTGATCACAGATTTAGTTATTCTATTAACAGGGATATATGATCTTCAACCCAAATAAAACAGTATTTAAAGTGAAATTTTAAAAAATCAAGTCAAGAAGAAAATAGTTTTTGTAGCTTGTCGTACCATGAATGCTGAAGTTTTCGTTGTCTCCTCCTGAAAGCTCCTCGTCTATTTCCAGCTCGTCATCGTCGCTCAAGGTAGCCAGAAGGCCCTCCCCGGAGGCCGGACCCCCAGTCACCCCAGCTAGTTCGCCGGGGAAGGTGGCCTCAGCTCCCTGAGTACCAAAAGCACTGCAGACTATTGTAAAATCCAAAAAAACAAATAATGAGGGAGATAACATCAAATCTACATCGGGATATGAAAAGGATAAGCAGTAAGGAGCAATTTGGGTCAAAGTTTATGTCATATGAGACAGTTAATGAATACATTTAAGTCATCTGTTTAAAAAGTAACCATGGTAAATTAAAAATGGATGAAATTACATTTATTTTTCTTCTACGCTCACTAGTAACCTATAATTGCTAAGATACTTCCCATTGTTCTACTTACAACTGACTGGTCAATTCATCTTATAACATTCACAGCAATCTGAGCTTCCAAATTAGACTCCTACTGTATTAGCACTGAAACTAGTGCAACCACTCCATGTCCACAACCACACTGTCCCTGAAGGCATCATTCACACCAGACGAGGATGAATAAGACTCAGTCAATTAAGTATTTGAAATATGTTGACCTTTCTCGTGCTGCTGTACAATAACTTGAACTGGAAATAATTTGGTCTATAGATAGATTTTGAATGTCAGAGGCGCTTAACTTCTGACACAAATCATTTTTTCTATATCTTCTGTATCTCCCCTGCCTGACGAGTCCTCACTTGCAGAGACATTTCTTTCTTCCTACGCCCCCTTCTCAGCCCTCATACCGTTTTACATTTCTCTTCTTTCCACTTCATTGACGCATGCTCTCTGCACTTCACATACACACACAGAATATAAGAACAAGTCCAGACTTACCTAAGCACAGGAGACAGGTGAGAACGAGAGGGTTCATATCCCAGGAAGAGAGTGTGGTGAGTATGACAGGCCTGCTCTAAATCTGTGTGTGTCAGAGTGTGTGTTTGTCCCCTGCTGATAGAGGTTGTGCTTTGCTCTCTTTACCTCCGCTGGGTGCAGCTTTTATAGACCAACGCCTGCCTGTCAAGACAAGGGTGTGTGTGTCAGTGTGTGTGTGAGTGTGTGTGTGTGTGTGACGCACACACACACACTTACGATTAAACACACACAGTTATATCCCAGAAGCAGCAACACATGTTCATGTATTAAAGGTGTGTGTGTGTGTGTGTGTGCGTCTGTATGTGGGGGTGTGTGTCTAATGATTAATCTTCCCCCGGGGCAACACATTTTGCACCTCATGTTCTCATACATCCCCATTAAAACACACAAACGTTGGTTCCTGCTTCTTTAACTGTTATTGCTTCCTCATGTCTCCCTCTATGGTCAGGAATAAGAAGATAATTACAACATCAGGTCAGTCCGTAGTCACACACACACACACACACACACTTATTACACTGTTACAAGGTGAAAAGCTAGTACCTCCAAATGTCAACTTTTAGAAAAGTTTTATTCTTGTATTTTATTTGGGGATTTTGCAAAGTGTTATGGGCACTTGGCAACAATGATACACACACACACACTGTGTTTGTAATAACCAGGCAGGAAACACCTCTGAACTTTACTCAAGGTACGAAGATGGTCAATAGAAAATGGCATTACAATGATGGCAATAATAAAAAAAATCATAAAATAAGATTGATAATTGGTATCATGTACAGATATAGGCAAATGGTGATAAGTAGGTCCAAAAATAGTAATATGAAGCCGTGAACAAACATATTCACCTCTGAAGTTTGCTTTTTTTTGCGGAGAGATACTTTTTTAAGGATAAATAAAGTTTGATTGTCAGCAGGCAGAATAGCTTAAGCTGTCACTGGTTAAAACATGGCACATCTGTTATCTTATTTAAATATTCCAAGTATGTTCTGCTTTGTTCAACAGGGTGTCTTTCTGTGTCTGAACTGGTGTGTGTGTGTGGTTTGATTAAATGATGCCAACTACTATTTCAGTACATTGTAACCATGAGGAGACCTTAAGACTTGGGTGGGGATGCTGCACGGAAGGGTGTGTTGGTAATTTTGTTGTGTCTGCAGACAGAGGCCATCATTTGTGTTCGTGGAATCCAATGGAAACGTGCTAGGAATGCTGGGAAATTCTCCATCTCATTCCTCGGCCTGAACAACAACGACCAGAAGCTCTGACAGGTTTTGTTTATAATGGAATTAAATTGTTTGGATTATCTGTAATGGCATTGGGGATATGTGATATGAACGTGTGGAAAGTCTGACACAAGCCTGGAGAGAAGCACCTCATTACAGCCGCCCACTGTAAACACACTGCTATGTAGCTAACGGCACGAAGGATGAAAACTTTATGACACAAATACAGCAGTATCTATTTGGATAAAACTTTGAATCATGCTTTTTTTACAAAACAGTAACAAGCTCAGTCTTAATTATACCGCCATTCCTCTGGAAAAGGGATTATGTGAAGCACAACCGAAGACTTAAATGCCAGATTTAAATGTAAAAACACCTGCAAATACAGAACAACTGTATGTGGCTGGTTAATAATTAATAATAAGACTGTACTGTACACAATGGAGCTATGAGATAGGTGCTGTATTTATTTATGGTTTGTACTGGTTGATTGTTGGGACTTAAGTTTGGCACCTTTAAATTGATTACCCTGATTTGTAGTACTGGACCCAGTTGGTATAAATGCCAGCGAGGGGGCTGCTGTATTTTATCCTGAAGAAGGCAGTTTGTGTTGATATTCATCAGTTAGTGTTATGAATGTTTGGCTTTCCCAATCTTTTATTAAGCTGAATGCTCATATCAAAATGCTAAAATGCTGAGCATGTTTAGCAGGTTCACCACCTTAGTTTAGTGCATAAGGCATTACTCTGAAGATACACACTGTCCCTGCAGTCGCACCTGGTCGTTGCATATTAAATATAGCTAACTTGACTGCACAACAGGATATCGTGTCAATGTCAAGTTTTGCCTTGCCTAGGTGTGAAAAGTACAGTGTCATATTTTCACTGTTATTTTTGTTAGCCAGGTTAACAGCATGGTTAAAGGGATGGTAATGTAGGTGTGGACCAGTGTGTTAGAGCAATGTGTGTATTTTCAGATCAATGGTTCTTCAAAGCAATGGCCTTTTGTTTTTGGGATAACAGGCTGTCAGACAAATGTGGTTTTGGACTATTGAAATTCCAATATTGGGCCATCGGAACAATGGGCAGTCCACTCCTTCAAAACCATACATGTCAACCTCATTATGATGCTGAAGGATAAGTTAGGGGATCAAAGTCATAAGGATTCCCCTTCTGGGAACAATGAATTACAGAATTTTGTGCCAATTAATGAGAAATTTCACTGGATAAGTGGAAACCTTGACCTGCTGGTGGCACTAGAGGAAATGTCACAAGATCACAAAAACCTTTAGGATTTATCCTCTGGGGATCATGAATGTCTGTACAAAAATGCATAGTAATCCATACAATGGCTGTAGAGATATTTGGGATTGGCCGCCTGACCAACGGTCCTACATTACCATCCCTAGAGCCACGCTGCTAGCGTGGCTAACAACAATAACAGTGAAAATAAAACATGAATCAGCCTTGAAAACAAATGTGTACATGGTACACGTGGACATTTTTGTTTTGTTAAAGAACACGCAAGGATGCAGCTTAATGGGGCTTCCACCAACCACATTACTCACTGCATGAGCAACCTACTATTACTTATGCAATAATTAGCTAATAACAGCTACATAGAATGAGCACAGTGTGGAGATTAGACAAGCATTTCCTGAATTTTGTTGTGAATGTTTATCCACAGGTTTTATATTTAGAACAAAACACGGAGAGGGTGTGTTTGTGGGTCCTTGTGTGTGTGAATGCATTCTTATGGGTTTTTAAGTATGTCCTAAACAGAGCAGTGTCTGCAGGTGAGTTAATGTTTATGTGTGATCATTGCTGTTCATTAGCACACAAAACATATAAAGATACTTCAGTAAGGTGTTAAAAAGGGCTCATTTACTCTGGTTGAAGCACTAATGAGGGTGCAGAAAGTTAAAAGGTGTTACTGGTTAACTTTAAACTGCACACAGTAGGTCAGACAATGAATGCACAAACATTCTTTTTCGTAAGTCATTGAAGTTACACTGGTTTCATAAATCTTAACAATAAACAAGTAAGTAAGTCATTTGTTAATGCAGTTCTTAGCAGGGTTTCATTAGAAGGACCAAGGCACCTGCCATGGTTTTTGTTTTGCAGGACGTTTCTGTGCACCTCTCTCAAATGCAAAAGTGGAAGTGCAACAACACAAACAAAAATACAACCATAAAATACAAACGATACTTGTAATGAAACCAAGGGTCAGTAAATTCTGCTATCTGATTTGTAGCGTCATAGGAAAATAATCATAAATCTTTTTCCAGATTCTGACATCATATAAAAAGTATGTGAGTCAGTTTCATGTATCATGTAATCTGAAATATAGTATAATAATAATAATATAATATAGATTACAGTCTATATAAAATTGTTTGTTTCAGTTAATAACAATTACCAAATGCACCAAATTTGAAGGGAATCTTCTAAAAGTTACCCTGATGTTCTGGTGATAAATCTGTTTTTTGTTATATTACAAAATGTAAAATACATATGCAGTTAGGTGGAGGTGTAATAGGTGCTGAACTTTCCTACTGCAACCAGCATGCTTATTCAAAAGGTAACAGGTTAGTTAGTGAATCACTCCTAATAAAAGGATTGCTTCCTTTGTTTTTACCCAGTGGTAGACCTACATGTTTAACTTTAACTTCACAGAAGGAAAAACACAAGTGTAGTTAGGAACATTAATGATGACTCACATCTATTAGGTGTCAGTGAGCCAGCATGCACAGCACCAGAGTTAATTTAGTTAATTGCACCAGTCCTTTGTGAAAAAGGTCTTAAGAAGCTTTTAGGATAGATTAAGCTACATATAGTGTTTCAAAATAATTGCACTAAATAAAGGAGCGACAGTTTAGGACAATATGTACTGTAATTTACAGTTGGAATGATCTTATATCAGATTAAATTACTTCCTGTATAATGTAAAGCTTCATTTTGACAGTATTATTGTGACAATATCTGTGAACATGCATTTGGTACAGTTTCAAAGGAAGATTCACACTCGTGCCCACAGAGCTGAAAGTCAGTATTTAAATGAAGTGAGTACTGTAAATCCAAAATGTTTTGGCTTTAATTCATATTTTATAGAACATTTTTCTGGTACATGTAAATCTACAGTAATACTGCCATTGTAAAAATAAAAATAAAAAAGTTAGGCATTGTACAGCATTTGGTTAACATCAAAATGTGAAAACTAAAAAGACTTGAATGTGAAGAATGTAAAGACTCAACTGTACCCTTCAGACAGAGATGTCATATTAAAACCAAAGTAAATGAAACAGAAAAAGAAATCCACACAGGAGTAAAAAACTAAAATCAACAATCCAGTGTATACATTAATAGTTTATAATAAATTATTAAAATGAGAATACTTTCTGACTAAACAAGTTTAGAATAAAACCCAGAATTGTAACACTCAGTGGCCAGTATAAGTAATAATGGCAATAATGGCTATTTTAAATATTAATCAAAGGGCAAAATATATATAAATTAATAAAAATAATAATAAGATATAAATAAAAAACCAACAGTGTAGAACTATAGAAAAGTAAGGCAGAAGACAGTAGGCAGCTAGATGTTTAAAATAATAAGTTTTATTCTTTGAGGGTTATTAAAAAGATCTGATGAGATATGCAACCCTTATTGGATCCGAAGCACATGATTAGGCCTACATTTCTAAACGCGTGGATCGCCACGAAGAGTTAGAAATGTTTGACAACCCCTTTCGTGTAATCTTATCCTTAATATTTGTTTAGACTCTCACATTTCTCCATGGATTTTCCATGACCCACCATCATTGTGGGTGGTGTCACCCACAGAAACTGTCTTTGTGTGTCTTACCATTCATCTTTTCAAACATGAGAGTAGCAGGTGCTGAAACACTAGAACCAGTACAACTGGAAACAACAACCGCGCCGCACACAATGCTGTTTCTTTTTGAACATTTTAATCTCTTTGTGCCGATCTGCCTGCTTGATAAAGTGATCCAAAGCTGCGTGACGTAGAATACTGCGAGTAGAACAAATCCAGCCACCGAGCGTAAGCTTGCCAGTTATGTTGAAATTGTCATTTAGAAAATTGGGGAAATTGGGAAAATCCTGGTTTGCCTTTTCCAGTGGTGGATGTAGTGGATGCGTGGGGCTCTCTAAGCAGACTGGACTCTGTAACCCTGCTGTTTCTGCTGACGTGGGAATTTGTTTTTCTTATACCTGTAAAAATACACAGAATATGATTTCATTCATTTAAGCAGGCATTAAGCAAATCACTTTGCATTCTACAATCTTTAACAACCAGGTTTAAATGTCCCAAGAAATGGTTTTAAGATCAGTGTCTGTGGTTTGACATGTCTCTGCATGAAAACAGGATGTTGGAGCAAACTTTACGTCATTTCAAATACAAGATACATCTGTAGGTTTTACATGACGAAAGGTGTCTGAGTCAACCTCAAAATCTAAGCTCACACTTTATTTGCCTGAATTTGCACGCAACCAAGCACAAAATGCATTAGCAAAAAGAGAAAGAGTTTCAGTGTAAATAGATTCAAGAAAATTGGGTTTTTTGACTTGTATTTAGCTTATAATGAAAGTCTGTAACATGAAGGCAATTTTATTTAACCAGTTGAAAACAAACTTATTTTCATAGCACTTGAAAATGGATATTTTGGACAAACAGCAGAGTCAATAATGGAAACTAAGCTAGTGTCCCACATTTGGAAAAGGCTCATGGATTATTATTACGTGTGCGTTAACATATAAGCAGTATTTGAATGTTAGCTGGTCAAGGTGAAGTCAATTTGAACTACTTTATATGTGATCTGATCTGAAATGAAGTCATCCGATATGATCAACAATCCAATATACTAAACTATTTATGGAGTCCTAAAAGTCTATTTTTCTTAAAATAAGAGAAGAACATCAACATGTTTCCAATAGAAATCAATTTGTTTCAAGAACTTTTTAGAAACATAAGAAAACCATAAAGGCCTACACCATCAATTAAATGTAGTGCAGTGAAAGGTACTACAGTTACCTCTAAAATGTAGTGGAGTAGAAGTATTAGGGAATAATATAAAATGGAAATATATAATGGAAGTACAAGTACCTTAAAATTGTACTTAAACCTGCAATAACGGATATTTTGGCCACTTAAGAGCAGCAGGAACAAATTGTGTAATCCTGAACCAGTCTGTCATTTAGTGGCATCTAGTGGTAAAGTTGCAGATTGCAACCATTTGAATATGACTCTGCCTTCCAAGCCTGTAGGAGGAACTATGGTGGTCACACAACTAGCAAAAACGCTAATAGCCCTATTTAGAGCCAGTGTTTGGTTTGTCCGCTTTGGGCTACTGTAGAGACCTGGTGAATCAACATGGCGAACTCCTGGAAGAGGACTCCTTCGCTCTGTTGATAAAAATGGCTCATTCTAAGGTAGAACGAAAAACATAAAAGATTTCTTATTCAGGTATTATACACTAATGAAAACATACCTATGAATACTATATTCCATTCCTGCCAATAGATCTTCCTAAAAGTTACACATTGGACCTTTAAGTTGATATTATGAACCTTTTAGCAAACATTTACGGAGATGCTCTTTCTTCAGCAGTTACAGAGAAACATCATTCACTTGAAGTCGTGTTTGTGTCCACAAAAGCTTTATCCTGGTTTCTGATTGTTTTCTGACATTAAAGGACAATGTGGAGACAACAGAAGGAGTCAAAGGTGGAAACAAATGTAATGTAATGTTTTCATGTTAAAAAAAAGTAAGTTGGCATACTGTCCCAGAATTCCCAGCTATATCCCTGAAATACAGGTATTGATGACAGCAAGCAACATCATTATCAGTGTTTGCCTTTCATATATTAAACTCTAAGAAATAGTAAAGTCACTCTAAAAGTCATTACTATCACAAACACACCTACACCCACACGCATTCATTCACAGACTAAAGCCTTACCATTTGCAGCAGAAGTACAGAGCTCCAGCCAGACCTATAATCAGCAGACTCACACAGAAAACAGTGAGAATGATCTGCTCTTCTGCCATTGGCTGAATGACGAGGTCCGCGCTGCTACACCTGGGGCCGTAGAAGCCCCTCTCACACCTGCAGCACAAAGAGACGAGTCACACGTGATCACACCTGATGATTAAAAGCAGCAGACTCGCACTCACTCTCTCTCACACACACAGGATCATACTTGCAGTGAGGTTCGTTGATGTCCACCAGCAGCATGCACTGGCCGTTGTTCATGCAGTATTTGTCAAACGTGCTTTCGCACTGATGTATCGACCGCTTCACCACATGATGGCGCTCTTCCCCCTGCCCTGAAACACAGAGAACAAGGCAGCTGTTGGAAACCTTTTCACAGGAAACTTTTAGGAAGCCTTTTCAGTAAGCTGGCACTCTGCTGGCCCTCTCAGACGAACCTTTGTTCAACATACAGATTTGTGCTCACACATTCTCACATATACTGATAAGCTCCAAACCTGAGTATGGAGTTACCACGGATAGTTTATTATTATATAATAAAATAAAAATAATAAAAAGTAAAAAAATGACTCAAACTATTATCTGTTATCAAAATAGCCGCCTAATTTTCATCAAAGTATCAGCAAATTGTCCAAATGCATTACATTAGTTGCAATTGTGCGTTTGCAGTAATATTTTGAAGTAAAATCCCTGCACACTTATTATACTTGACTAATACAGTGATATGTTATTGAAAAGTTGTGTGGGTGAGTACCTGCAGATAGAGAGGTGCTGGATGTGACACTCTTGGTGAGTACATACGGCCAGAGCAGCATGACACCTGTTGGACAGAGAATATTCGTCTCATTAATTACACTGGATACAAGGTTAGCAGGTCCGTTTGGTAAGGATGTTTAGTTTGAATCATTCAAACTTTTTTATATTACTGCACTTATTTTGGCTTGTGTACCCTTAACATGTGAGCCCTTGTCAAAGGTTTAATATATCTATGAGTTGTGATCAGTTTAAAAGTGACTGTTCTTCTCAAATTGTTCAATTGGAATCATTTTAGGGGGGCTAGAAAGGTGAAATGATCTATATCTATCTATAATATTTCACCAGGATAATTTAATTATTAGAGAAAAGCCAGAAAAATAAATGTTTTTTAATCATCTCCAATCCTGTTAATTATCTTGAGCCCATGCTGTTGAATCACTATCATAAAAAACAATCATTTAATCACTAAGTGTTTTCTCGTATCAAACACCTAGTTTCATGTGTTTTTACAGATGACCTGCAAACACAACACTTCACAGGTGAGTCATTTTACATGACAAGGTGGATTTTCTTTTTACAACGAACCTCAACATGTTTAAAAAAATGAACGTGCTCTGAATTTGCATTTGTAACGTGTTTTTGTGTGTGCGCAAGGAGATTTATCCGTGTTTGTTGATCGTGTTTAGATAAGACACCGCACAAGCATTAAGGAAAATTTCAGTATGATGAAATAAAGCTTTTTTGGCACGAAACGTCCGATTTGCGGCCGGTTTATTTGTGTAAACTGTGCCAAGTGGAACATGATATGGTGTGGCTTGTGTTGCCTAGCCCACATGCCTGTACCAGCCTGCACTACTTTACAATGCAGACGCCCACATTCCTACAGGCAGGACAGAAAAACACATGAACCTGGATGCAAGATGTGTCTGGTTACGACTGGTTATAAATCTAGTTATACTTGCTATAAAAACCATCACGCTGTCTCTCTGGGTTTCTGTTCCTGTCTGTTGTTATGGCTGCGGAGATATTTTCCTCTGTTTTCTGTGAGACGACTCTAGGCTGGTTGTTGGGTGTTTCTGACGTGGCTGATTGGTGTTAAGTACACTTGGAGCTGGAAGTGATGACAAAGCAACTTTTTCTGTATTACTAATTAATCACTGTTCAATCAGCCCATTTATACCATTAGTCACTGATTCACTCTCGCTGTGGCTTGTCAAGAGTCTATATGATCCAGGTACTCATCTTACCTCGTTGCATGAATTCGGATGAAAATTACACCTGTGTTTTTCCTACGGTGTGAAAAATCACAAGGAAATGTGACTCTTCAACTTTAAATATGCAGCACATATATAGTTAATACAAATGTTTCGTGTCCAGGGTAAAGGTGAGCAGGGCCACAACAAAGCTTTACATGACCCACATAACCGAGAGCAGCAGAAGTAGGGAAGGTTCTGAATGCCTCAGCTCCTATCATGATGGATAACTGGTTAATAAGAAAAAGTCGTGTGTGCCTACAGAGTCAAAATAAACAAAATAAAAGAGAGCAATAAAAGACTCTGAATAAATTCTGAAGGTTTATTCTAGGAGTTAGGAAAAATACTGTACTTTTTACTCTGTTACATTTATTTTCCCGCTGCAGTTGCTGGTTATTTTGCAGGTCATTATTCTGGCTTGCGAGCCCTAAAGAATAAGCTGTGTTTGGTTGTCACGTGTCAACAATGCTTCAGCAACAATCTGATAACATATTTAACATCATATCAGTCGCAGAGGCCATCTTTTGGCAGAACAAGTATTTTCATTTTGCTGATAATACATCTTGTACAGATTTTAAATGCAGATCTGAGTACTTCCTCCACTACTGGGTACTCATCCGTTTATATAAACCAGAATATATTGTTTACCCTTTTAAGTTTGTTGTATGACTTTTTATAGATAAGAATGAACCTGAACAACCGCATGAGCTGACAAATCATAAATCTTCCATTCATGGTTTGGTTGCCAACATCCCTCAGCATCCCTCAGGCTCTGAGCTCAGAATGTGCGTCAAACACAAGTATGTGGTAAAGTACTTCATCTGACTCCAAAAACGCTGCTGCGGTTGATTTCTGAAAAGAACTGAAGAAATATCAGCTACTCATAAACTAAAATCAACAGTATAGCGCCACATTTTAGATGTTGGCTCTGATCCAAGTGTTCTGATCGAGTATTTGTTTGTATTATTTGTAGTTTTATGCTTTCTGTTTAGACAAAAGATATTTTCATCAAACATTAGCTGCATTTTACAGTTGTGGAAGAAGTACTGAGATATTTTGTTAACATAAAAAGAATCCAATACAAATTAAAGCTGCAAGCAGCGTTGGGCGGGCCCTCGCACTCCACGCAACTCGGGGCGTGCTGCGGCCGCGTCACGTGCCGTCGTAACACGTGCGGACCACAACATGAAAATTTCAAGTAAATCA